GCTAGATCATATAGTAACTGTATTTTCTTAATAAACTTCTAGTATATAATACAATATCATTAAATACAGTCTTCATGTTATACACTAAATCTCTAGATTATTCATTCTACCATAACTGAAACTTGGTATTTGACCCACAATTAGGAACTTCCCACAGTGGCTGCACCAATCTATTTTCCCACCAATGGTAAACAGGTTCCCTTTTTCCATATCATCACCAACACTTGTTACCTGCCTTTTGGATAAAAAGACTTAGTTGAAGTGTTTTAATTAGGTCAAGTTGGTTTATAACATTATCCAAATCTTTTATGTTTTTACTAACTTTCTGATCTATCAATTACTGGGAAATGGTATTGGAATCTCTGCCCTAATTTGTATCTTTTTCCTGTCTCTACTCAGGTGTATTAGCTTTTGCATGGTGCATTTGTAAGGTCTGTTTTAGATGTTTAATAATGTCATTCTCTTGATTAACTGGAACTTTTCACATTAATAAATGCTATTTATACCTTATGATGTGCTTTGTTCTGAAATCTGTTTATTATTAATATAGTCACTCTGACTCTATTTCAATTAGTATAAGCTTAGCATATTTTTTCATCCCTTTTTTAAAAATCTATTTTGTCTTTATGTTTTATATGGGCAACATATAGTTAAATCTTAAGTTTTTTTCTTGATCTAATAAATTACTTTTTTTGGCCTTTTAGTTCATTGTGCATTTCTGTTTAATAGGACTATTGCTATAGCATTTAAATCTTTCATCTTGTTTTTTCTTTAACTGGGGATTGAACCCAAGGGCACTTAACCACTGAGCCCAGCCCTAGCCCCCCTTTTAAAAAATATTTTATTTACTGACAGGGTCTCACTGAGTTGGTAAACCCTCACTAAGTTGCTGAGGCTGGCTTTGAATTTACAATCCTCCTGCCTCAGCCTCACGAGCTGCTGGGATTACAGGCATGAGTTGCAGCATCTGACATTACATCTGTTCTTTATTTTCTTTTTCCTCCTTTCCTGGATTGAGATTTTTTACAAAATGATTTACTTAATTTCCTTTGACTACTTTTTATAGTTTTTTATTATAGTTTTAAAGGGTTACAGTATTCTTTTTATCTTATCACAGTCTACTTTTTAAGTATATTATACCACATCACATAGAATAAAAGCCATACAAAGCTCAGTACCATTTCTTGCTTCCTGACCTTTGTGATATTGTTGTCATATGTTTTATTCCTACATGCTATAAATCTTATAATTAACTGTTATTATCTTGATTTCAACAGCCTATTACTATTTAAAGAGATCTAAATAACATGATTTTTTTTCTCACTAATCCACATGCTCACCATTTCCATTGTTCTTTATTCCTTTGTGCATATCCAGGTTTCCATCAGATATCATTTTTTATTTTTATTTTTGGTTTGCTTAAGGACTTCCCTTAAAAAGTCTCATAATGTGAATTTGGTGTGATGAGTACTTTAAGCTTTTAATATTTAAATACTCTTTTTTCCTTCTTTTTTGAATGATATTTTCTATGTGTGTTTAATCCTGGGTTAAGTTATTTCCTTCCAATATTTTAAAGATGTTGCTCCTGCACTTACATAATTTCTGATAAGAAGTCTGCTACTCTGCTTCTTCTTGTTCTGTAAGTAATGGATATTTTTTTTTCTTCTGGGTGCTTTTAAGATATTCTCTTATCTCTGGTTTTAATCAACTTGATTATAATGCCTTCTGATGTATTTTCTAAATGTTTATTGTGCTTAAAGTTTGTTGAGGTTCTTGGATTTGTGAATTTATAGTTTTCATCAAATTTGGAAATTCTGGCCACTTTTTCTTCAAAAATTATTTTTCTCTTCCTCCTTTGTCTTAGAGATGCTAACTGTACACATATTTGACTAAAGTTTTCTCACAGCTCACTAATGCTGTTTTTTTGTTTCTTTTTGGATAGTTTCTATTGCTATATTTTTAGGCTTATGAATTATTTCTTCTGGAATCCTGGGTATTTTGTTTGCTTGTTTATTTTGTACTGGGAATTGAACTCAGGGGCCCTCTATCACTGAGCTACATCCCAAGCCTTTTTACTTTTTATTTTGAGACAAGGTCTCATTGCGTTGCTGAGGCTAGACTCAAACTTGCAACCCTCCTGACCTAGCCTTTAAAAAAAATTTTTTTTGGTTGTAGATGGACAAAATACCTATATTTTATTTATTTATTTTTATGTGGTGATGAGGACCAAACCCAGTGCCTCACACGTGCTAGGCGAGTGTTCTACCACTGAGCCAAAAACCCAGCCCTTGCCTCAGTCTTTCAAGTAGTTATTATAGGTGTGTACTGCTCCATGGACTCCAGTGTATTTTTAAATTTAGGCAATTGTAGTTTTAATCCTTATTTTAGGTAGGTATCTTGAATGTTTTTAGCTATGATGCTCAATATTTCTTTAGTATTTAGTATTTAGTCTAATTTTCTAGCATCTTAAATACATGGAACCAAAGTATAACTTTTAATGTTCTTATCTAATAGTTCTATCATTTCTGAATCCATTTATTTTGATGGATATTTTTCTCTTCATCAGCTGAATTTTTCTATTTTTGTTTGCATGCCTGGTAGCATTTGATCAGATGCCAGATATTAAATTTTATGTTGTTGGATACTGAATATTTGTACTGCTATAAATATTCTTAAGCTTTGTCCTGGGATATTATTAAGTTTTTTTTAAAAAAAATGTTTGATCCTTTCTAGTCTTGCTTTTGGGAAAGACCACAGCAGTATTTAGTCTAATTTTACTCAATTATTGAAGCAAAATCCTCCTTAATACTCTATCACATGCTCTGTGACTTTCTTATGACTGAAAGGAAAGAGAAGTATTCCTGGCTTTGTAGAAGCTTTGAAGAACAATCCATAGATTGTTATTTTAATCCTTTCTGGTGGCTAATTCTGCTAAAGACTCAAGAGGATCCATTCTGTAAATATTTATCAAACACCTAGTATGTGCAAGGAAATCACAGGCCCTGAATATAGGAAACAGAAGTTGGTATCAGTCCTCTCCATTCTTCTGTCCCTTTTTTTGAGTTACCTTCAACCACCATTTTTTTTAAGCACAGAAGAACTTATGTGCTATCTTCACTAACCAAATAATATACATATTCAGCAAGGGGGAGTCTTTTTCTGCAACTTGTATCTTCCTCTACATAGTAGCCTGAGTCTCTAAGAAGTAGCCCCCATTTCTCAAAGCTAAAACTTGCCTGTACTGTAGAAGTAGGATAAAAATACCTACATTTGGTCTGGAGAAATCTGGCCTGGCATCCCTTATTATATGATTTCAAAACAGTACTTAAAGGAAACCAGTTTGTGTCTTCTAAACCAGTTTGAATGCTTCCTAATGTTAGAACTTTCGCTGCTGCAGCTAGATTTTGCCCAAACTTCTTTCACCAATATCAAACTTACAGGCTTCAAAGTTCAGAAAAAAAAATGGTGACCTCTTGCCCTTCCACATACTCTCAAATATGAAAAAAAAAATAATAAAGAAAAAGAAAAACATGCCAGTTAAATAGCTTCACAGCAAACAGGTCATTTCAAAAAAAGACATCCAATTATGTAGACTCTGATTACTGGTAATAATTTGGAAGTCTTAAGAAATTTAACAATTTCAGCTCAAAACAATTAAACAGAACTGTTGAAGAGAAAATCACCCTTAGACTCAACATGGCTTCAGATGCAAGAGATCAAGAAGGTTTACTGATTCTGTTTCCTTCTGTTTAGAGTCCCTACTACCAAACATCTGAAACTTAATATTAAAGCAAATACTGCTTTGTTAAAATTAGGATGCATAGGAAGAAGATATTTTTCAATGACAATATTTTTATATTTGATTTTTCAGTTTTGAATCCTGAACTTTCCAAAGACATAGAACTGAAAATATAAACATATAAGGAAAACTTTCCTATGTACATATATGTATATATTTTTGTTTATATAAGTCAAATATGAGAGTTGGCCCTTCAACTAATAGCCATTGATTTTGAGGGCATTTGGGGATTACAATCTTTTTATCAATAAATTCTTTCTCATAAGAATAAGGCTTTCTGGACAATACATTTTGTATTATAGTAAAGCAACTTCTAGTCTTCTCTATTTCCTTCATCTAGCAACAGCTTGAACCTGTACTCAATTTGGAAAATCTTTAAAAGGAATGGCTATCCCCATCGTGATCATGACATTAAAACTTGCCAGTTCTCAGCAATTTAACTCTATCAGAACAAGCTCCAAGTAGAAACAATGGGGGAAATTCATGTACAAGTAGATGGTATTAACTCATATGATATAAGGGAAAGATAAACAATATACATTATGTCACTGCATTATTTGCCAGGCATATAGGTTGCTCCATAGACTGAGAATGTTAAGCCACCTCCTAGCAAAATACTCATGGGCGGTGCTGGAGTGGTGGCTCAGCAGTAGAGCATGTGCAAGGCCCTGGGTTTGATCCTCAGCACCACATAAAAATAAATAAATAAATAAAGGTATTGTGTTCAGCTACAACTAAAAAATAAATGTACTCATGGGGCATTTTACAATTAATGAATATCTTTGGTGAAGGAATGATTGAAAGAATTAAAGGCTTAGGTGGTAAGGTAAAGTGAAATCTCCATTTGATTTAAAAAAAAAAAAAGACAATGAGGTGAGCAGTTTAACCATTTGGAGTGCCTGCGCTCTGTATCCTATTATAAATTAAAATAAAGGGGGAAAAGGGCAATGAGATACCCTAAAAGGCATCTCAGTAAGACAAGTAACTCTTGTGTTATGACAAATGGAGTTTCACTAGTGGGTAGTGACACCTTTAGTTAGCAAAATCACTTGTAAGACAAATACATTTTCCAAGCTCTGGAAAAATTATTTTTTGTCTGAAACAAAAACAAAACAAGGGACAATTACACACACACACCAAAAAAAAAAAAAAAGAAAGAAAGAAAGAAAGAAAAGAAAAGAAAAAAGAAAAATTCACTCACAGATTCCTTTCCCATCTTCTTTTGTAGTCGAGTTTGCCACTGGACGGCTTGCATAACAATGGCTTCCCATCTTCTTTCAAGATTTACAATGATCAGCTGCATGGGCTGGTGGTCTGCGTTCAAATTGCAGGTCTCACGGTCATCCAGTAGATGCTGGCATAATCGAAGAATGGAGGCCACTCCTCGACGTCTTTGCTTTATTTCACGACAGAGGGACTGCAACACAGAATTGTTACAATCTATGAACTGAATGGTTATAGGGCGGAGTTCCCTAAAACATGAAACATTCCCTTCCACCATTATTTTGAATTGTAATTATATGCTAGTTACAAACAACAGGACAAGAAGAAGGGCCCTGAGGTATCTATAGATAGCTAACTAATGCTAGAGAAATTAGCTTCATTCCTTTTTCACTTATTTCTTCCCTTTTTCACTTATTTCTTCCTTTAAAATGTAGGTTCCCACCTTGAAACCTAGGTAGTTAACAATTTCTAATCTAATGAAATAAATCATTTAGGGCATATGAATGCTAAACAGATTGACATGCTTTTTCAAGGTCAAAGAAACACAAAAAAATTGAAATATACTCCAAAATAAAATGGAATTTTTCCAAATTTATTTCTAGATTCTTTGAAAAGAACAAGTTCAGTTTTTTACTGAGAATGAATTGAATAAGGTTGCAAAGAATTTTTATATATAAAAGCTATTATCTGAAAAAAAAGATAAGCAGTATTTCTCTTCCAAAGCTTGATTAACAAAGCAATAATGTTCTGAAAACAGAAATTAAGATACTGGATTATTACTGCACTATTTGTTGGTTGCTGTGTTTCTTTTAATAGACATCACACTATTTAAGAAGGATATGCATGCATCAAAATAGCATTTTGCCCCCAGAAGCATTTGTATTACTGCAGTGACCCTAAGCTGAACAATTCAAGCAAAATAGTGGGTACACATGTCTAAAAATATTATATCCTTTCTTTGCCTACGGATAGTGTGTAAGTGATATTCTAATTCAAAGCCTTCAGGAGAAATGATGATTATATCCACAAACATCACTGAATTACTAATCTCCCTCTACTGCCACAATTGGACTGTTCTAACAGTTAACAGATTGCTTATTAATCAACAAGGGTAAACAAGACAATGCAATTTCATTTAGTGTGAGAGTTTTAATGCCTGAAAGTATTTGTGCTTAAAATGTTAATCTAGATAAGGCTTCATTAGAAGAAGTCTTAAAATGATTAAGTGCAGTTCATTGAAATGTGCATGGAGTAGGGGTAGTAGATCAGCAGGTGGACATTTCATACAGATGTTCCACTTATTGATATAATGCATGCTATAGCCATTTAAATGACCGTAACTCAGTAATAGCTGGAATTCTATTATTTCTATAATGAGAGAACCCTGTACCTTTAATATTTCTGAATTTTAAATAAGGTGAATGACAAATTCCCAAACCTCTATTTATGGCAAAATATGACTAGGAATTTTATTATTCAATTTATACCAGTGCAGCAGTTTCAGTTTTGTTTCCTGGGCTTACCCTTATTTATTTTCCTAGGGTTCATTACTATTTTCCTATATAGCTCCTGATACAACAACCAGGTCTGACAAATTTCTTTACTGATACTATTCATTAGTTCACTGCTGATTGAGGGGAACTCCTAGATATTCAAGGATAAAACTTGAGAGCCCTTTAAAGCAACAAGAATTGTTTCCATCTCCTCCTCCAATTCTGCCAGCTGTCCTTTCTTGATCCACATGCATATTCTCTCTCTCTCTTTCACACACACACACACACACACACACACACACACATCCCTACACATCCTATACACTCTTACTCAACAACAACTGTTGAGCAGTCCAAACTACAAAGTCCACTGAATACTTGTCAATTTTTGGCCCAATACTGAATGGTTCAACATAATATCATCACCAATTGAAATTGGTTCAAATGCTTCCTAAGGAAATGCACACTAAGAATTCTATTTTGGGGGGGCTAGGATTGTGGCTCAGCGGTAGAGCGCTGGTCTAGCACGTGTGAGGCCCTGGGTTCAATTCTCAGCACCACATAAAATAAATAAATAAAATAAAGGTATTGTGTCAAGTACTTCTAAAAAACAAATGTTTTTAAAAAAGGAATTTTGTTTTTTGTTTTGTGGCTAATTTATTAAAAGAAAGAGCTACAAAAACCAAAAGATGATTTGTGTCATAGTCCTAGATTTTTAAAACCACTGTTTGAAGTTACACTAGAATAGTAATTACATTTCTCAAGTAAACAAAAAGTCCCCAAGTTCTTAGTCTAAGGAAAATTTGCAATTAATGGCACTAAAGGTATGTATGGATGACTCCATAATAAGTAAGGCACAGTCCATACAAGATAGTATCTGCAAAATGCCCTTATGGGGTTCATTCACCCTCACAGGTATTTTCAAAGTTCTAAAACAGGACTCCTGAGGTTGGTATGGGAAATTTTTATAAATATCATTGGCCATATTTTTTGTAAGTGTCTATAATATATCTAATATCTAAATATCCAGAAAAGCTTCACCCCCTTATCTTAATGCACATGAATTAAGATGAAATGGTGGTTTAAAAATGTAAAAGCAGTTACTATTGATATTCACTACCTGATTTTTCAACCTTCACAATTCTACATTTTTCTTACTTTAAATATCTAAAGGGCTTAGTCTACATTCTGGATTAATAATTTATTCTATATGTACACTCTTCAAAAGGAGAGGAAAATTGAGAATTTTACATGGCAAACATTTCAGTACTTTTTTAAAATAGGAGATATATCTGGTAAAATAACATTCTTCTACATAAATGTGTTTCCATGACAACATTAAAATATACATATTTATTTATAATCACAAACACATACTAAATAAAATCAGTGGATCTGCTGGCAACATTTCTCAGAATCAGTAGTTTACATTATTTCCATGATAAACTATGCACAGAGAAATGATAAATATAACTACATAGGAATAAATGATTATTATGACTATTTTTGTCTTACATTTCAGAGAACTGTACTTTTAAATAGAAACCCAAGCCAGGCAATCTAAGTAAGGCACAGAAATATGACAAACTTATCCTTACCTCTCTCTTCTCTGCTACACTGACCTCCTCAAATATGTACTGTACCTTCAATGCTAGGTACTCATTCAGGAATGAAGGTTTCAAAAATGAACAAGCTACTGCTGCTCCTTTCCTCAAGGAGCTGAAAGTCTACTGGAAGTGAACTACACAGATAAGTATAACCATAGAAATGAGTATAAAACAAAGAGGGAAGGAAGTCTGTGCAGGTTAATATTGGAGAAACTAATGAAATCTTCAAGGAAATGGTGGAAACCAGGAAATCCAAGATAAAAGATGGGTGATAGTAGTTACAGGGATAGAAGACCTAGAGACATGTGAATGTGGCAAACAAGTCTGAACTAGTACCTTTGGGTGTTTAATAGTTGGGGAAAATGAGAACGAAATGGATGAAAAGGGAGTTATAGCATAGAGAAGTTTGGAATGCCTTCCATTATTGCTAATTTTGAAGCATTTTCCTTAATATCTAATGAGGTCATGGCTGGTTCCTGTGCATGGTCATATTGCCCTCCTGGAGAAGTATAAGACAAGAAGAGGTACAGGAAATTCAAAAGAAAGAGAAGCATAACTAATATCAATATGTCAAAGAAAAGTATTCCAAATGCTTTAATATTTAGTTGTCATTTGGTAATTTTTTGGCAATTTCTTCCTGCAAGGCTACCTTTGTTAGTATAGAGGATTATCTCAGAAACCCAATTGTTAGAGTGCAGTTTGATGTGCCACTTTTAAATTTCTTTTCTTTTTTTAAAATATTTTTTTAGTTGTAGATGGACACAATATATATATATTATTTACATATATATGTAAATAATATATATACATTATACATATATATATATATATATAATTTTTTAATGTGGTGCTGAGGATCAAACCTAGTGCCTATCACATGCCAGACGACTACACCACCACTGAGCCACAACCCCAGCCCCCCCACACTTTTAAATTTCTAATGACCAATTATATTTACTTATGTTTCTACTCATTTTCATCATGTTTCCAAAAAGGCAGATTTGCTATAAAAAGGAGTAGCATTAAAAAAAAATAAAAATTCTTATGTTTGTTTTTCCTTTACAAAGAACAGATTTACAACACTCTAAATATTTTTCTCCCCTTGGGGAGGGATCATATTATGAAAGAGTTGCTAACAGGGAAAAGATTTTCATTTTACATCTATAGGCTGTCAATTTGGTTTCTAATTCACCAATGGCAATTTACAAGGGTTTTGTTTTGGTTTACCTCCTGACATCCCTGGTCAACTTTCCAAATGTTGAAATCATTCATATACTGAACCAAATAGACAAAATCATTCCTGGCACTGGCTTCAGTATGATGTCATTGAAGGTAAGACTTTCAATGCTGCTACTTTATTCTTCACAATATCTCAAATGTATGGAAAGCTAATGTTTTACATAGAAATATTACATTTACTTGTATGTACACGTACTTGATATTGAACAAATGCCATCTACTTCATATGATGATGTAAATAAACTTACAATAAAAATAATTACTATAAGTAGATCAAGAACTGTTAAAATATTACACATACATAAGTAAAATGTGAGAACCAAATAGAGGAAAGAGAGATTAAGAGAAAAACAATGTTTTAAAAACACCAAAACTTGGGCGGGGGTTGTGGTTCAGTGGTACAACAATTACCTTGTACTTGTGAGGTACTAAGTACAATCCTCAGTACCTCAGTACTAAGTACAGTACCTCAGTACACACAAAAATAAATAAATAAAAATACTGTGTCCATCTACAACTGAAAATATTTTTTAAAACATCAAAACTCAATATATGTTAAAAACATAAATTCTAAGAAATTTGTCTCCAATATCATAATTTTATTCAACATTAATTTAATATTATTAGGTAGGTCAATATAAACAAAGTAATAGAACTTCAGATAATCTGAAAATTGAAACAGAAATTATGAAGCAATTCCATTTATAAAGGCAAATATTACTTCTAGATTGATCACTTGTTTACCAATACCTATTTTTAAAATTCATTCTTTCTAGATATACATGGCAATAGAGTGTGTTTTGACATATTACACATACATAGAATAAGTATGACTTGTTCCAATTAGGATGATT